CCACACCTGGGCAAACACGTCAAGAAATTAGAGAAAGTGCAAAGTTTTGCAACAAGGCTAGTTCCGGAGCTCAGGGGTATGTCCGACGAAGAAAGGTTGAGGGAAATCGGACTGGCGACATTGGAGGACAGGTGGGTCAGGGGAGACATGATAACGACATACAAGATACTCCGTGGAATAGATAAGGTAGACAGAGACAGGTTGTTCCAGAGACGGGACACAGAAACAAGGGGTCACAACTGGAAGCTGAAGACTTAGACGAGTCATAGGGATGTTAAGAAGTATTTCTTCAGTCATAGAGTCGTCAGGAAGTGGAATAGCCTAACAAGTGATGTAGTGGAGGCAGAAACCATACATAGCTTTAAGACAAGGTATGACAAAGCTCTGGAAGCAGAGAGAGAGAAGACCGAGTAGCGATCAGTGAAGAGGCGGGGCCAGGAGCTGTGTCTTGACCCCTGCAACCACAATTAGGTGAGTACCACACACACACACACACACACACACACACACCACACACTCACACCACACACGCACACACATACATATGTATATATTTATATGTATATATATATATATATATATATATATATATATAATATATATATATATTATATATATTATAATATATATTATATATTTATATATATATATATATATATATATATATATATTTATTATATATTATATATATATATTTATTATATATATATATATAACAGTGGTCCCTCGTTGTTCGTAATTAATCCGTTCCTGGAGCCGTTACTATAAACGAAATTTACGATTTACGAATCAATTTTCCCCATAAGAAATTATGTAAATACAATTAATCCGTTCCTGACACCCAGAAGTATTAAAAAAAAAATTTTTAACATGAAATATACATGTAGTACATAAACAATACAATGGGAAATGATGAATGAAACATTAACAGCATAAAACTTACCTTTATTGGAGATTCTTCTTAGTGTATGGGAGACTGGAGGAGGAGAGAGAGTGGATTGTTTATAGTTTGGAAGGGGAATCCCCTTCCATCAGCACCTCAGGTACCAATTGCTTTTCTGGGGTTGCTTCTCTTCTTTGTTTCTTAATGCCACTAGGACCACCTTGAGAGTCACTGGAGTCCTCTCTCACAAAATAACTGGAGAGAGCTCTGTTTCTGGCGTCTCTTGAACACTTCCCTAAAATGGCCCAAGACTTTGTCATTGTACATGTTGCCAACCTGGCTTGCAACAACCTTGTTAGGGTGATGTTTCTCCATAAAGCTTTCCATCTTACCCCACATAGTAAAAATCTCTTTAATTTCTGAAGAAGGCACCTTCTTCCATCTCTCTTCCTCCTCCTCTGCAGCAAGATTCTGAGCTGCGATGTGTTGCTCTTCCTGCTGAAGCTCTTGCAGCTCCTCAGTGGTGAGCTCTTCATTGTGGTCTTCCACCAATTCTTCCACATCCTCCAAACTCACATCCAACCCCATGGAACTCCCCAGTGCCATAGTTGATTTTTCAACAGACATAGGCTCATTAGGGTCAGTCCCAAATTCTTCAAAATCCCTCTTGTCGACACAATCTGGCCACAATTTTCTCCAGGCAGAGTTCAAAGTCCTGGTAGTCACTCCCTCTCAAGCCATATCTATAAGGGTTATGCAGTGGAGGATGCTGAAGTGTTCTCTCCAAAATTCCCTTAGGGTCAAGTGAGTGTCTGTGGTCACAGTCAAGCACCTGTGAAACACTGCTTTTGTGTAGAGTTTTTTTTAAAGTTTGCAATAACTGCTGGTCCATGGATTTGGAGGAGAGGGGGTGGTATTCGGGGGCAAGAACTTTACTGTGATGAACCCAAACTCCTCGAAAATTATGTCATCCAAGTTTGGAGGATGAGCAGGTGCATTGTCCATTACTAGTAGGCACTTGAGATCCAATTTCTATTCCCGGAGATACTCCTCACACTAGGGCCAACACTTCATTGAACCACTCGAAAATTCCCTCGTGACCCATGCCTTACTATTAGATTTCCAAAACACACACAATTTACTCTTCATACATTGTTTTTCCTGAACAACTCTGGGATTTTCAGAATGGTACACTAGTAATGGCTTCACTTTGAAATCCCCACTGCATTAGCACAGACATTAGCGTCAGCCTGTCTTTCACAGGTTGTGTCCTGGCATTGCCTTTTCCTCTTGTGTAATGAAGGTCCTCTTTGGCATTTTCTTCCAAAAGAGGCCTGTTTTCGTCACATTTGAACACTTTTTCAGGTTTCAGTCCTTCAGCCTCATGTACTCCTGGAATTCATGCTCATTTTTTCAGCCGCCTTGTAGTCCGAAAATGGCAGCCCCTACATGCTTTTACCACACTGTGTATGCCAGTACGGTTCTTTAAATCTCTCAAACCAGCCTTTGCTGGCCTTAAATTCACTCACTTCGCCCTATTTGCAGGCAATTTCTTTACCAATTTTCATGCAACTGCCTAGCTTTTTCACAAAATAACGAAGTCATAAGAGTTATCTCCTGCTAATTGTTTCTCATTTATCCACACCAATAATAACTTCTCAACCTCTTCCAGTACTGGTTGATCTCATTTTTGTCAGCTAGGGTTTCTCCTTTGCAACAACAGCATCCTTTATTTCATTTTTCTTGGCCACTATGGAAATAAGGTTTGGTAGGGTTTCTTATACATCTGGACAGTTTCGGCCACACTTGTACCACTTTCATATTGTTCAATGATTTGTTTTCTTAAATTAAATCGTATTTCTCACCTTCTTTACCAAAAGGCTTGGCACTAGGAGCCTTCTTTGGAGCCATAGTAGCTTATTTAGCACTTGCAAGCACTAAAATAAATGGATATTATGAAATATTTCGCTGGAGCACGTGAGGGGGCCTTCGCTCACGGTAAACAATGCCAGACTGGCTGCCGCCCCGGCTCACGCGTGGGTACGCGTCCCGGACGAACTACGACTCGCGAGTCAACCTATGAAAAGCGAGTCCATGTTATACGAAAATACCCCTATGATTGGCGAATTTTACGATTCCCGGGAACTACGAAAGGCGGGGGGTTCACTGTAAATATATTATATATATATTTTTATATATATATATATATTATTATATATATATATATATATATATATATATTTTATATATATATATATATAATTTTGTATTTATGTCACTAAATGGGCGGGATTCAAACCCACGGTAAGCCATTTTTGAGATGTGTAATGCTAATATTCAATATGATTATAATAATCATTACATATCCATTATATATGACCTATTGTCGCACTGTCCGATACGTGATTTTGTACCTTAGCTCGATTGCTGTTCTATTCTCTCTCGCCTGAAATCTTTTATTAACTCTTCATTACATACAGTATAGACTTTCCAGTGTGTTTCGTAATAGTTCTTACAAATCTGTGATTATTTTCCAGTTTTACTTGGAAAGTAAGTCTAATCTTTGATTTTAGCCATGAGTGTTCTCCTAGGAGCTGTTTTTTTCTGCTGACTGGTTGTACTTACAAGAAAGAATATGGACATTTTGAGGTTACCCTCCTTGAATGTGCGTGCTGATCGAGGAAAAGTTAAAGGTCGGGGGTATCTGAGCGAGTGAGAATTTAAAGGGCGTGGTGGTACTGATATAAAAAAAAAAACAGTTGCACAAAGAAAAGAAAGGAAATGAGAGTTTTTAAAACGATGATTGAGACGTTTGGAATAAAAATCTGGAGATGATGAGGACAGAGAAAGAGGCAGCGAGTCTAAGAAGTATTCAATTTATTTTTGAGAACTTTTAGCATCAAATGAAATAATAATTGTTATAATACGTACGATAAATGTTGAGGAATATTTATTAAAAAAAAGTTTTGAGTGCCTGGTGTATATAACAATGAAAAAGCTTTAAGTGATTTACTTTCAGAAAGAGATTTTGTAATATCAATAAAAGGTGTGACTGAGTAAACGAGATGAGTGACAGTGTGTTGCAACAGAAGTTACTGATTATAGGCTGGTGGGTCGGTAAATGGAAAATAACATATTTCTGAAATAAAAGTGTGCTAGAATTATTAAAAGAACGTTGAAGGAATGCCAATCATTCTGGTAATACCATTTTGTTGAAAAACGTTTAGAGATGTATAAATAATGTATAAAAAAAATTGGAAGCCGATAGGAATGTCATTATTAATAAAAGTTTTGAGAGTGTGGATAAGGAGGTAAAGGAGCAAGAGAAATTAATAGAATATTTTAAGGATATAGACAGACAGTAAAACCGAGGCAGAAATCTTGTGTTTGAGTTAGGAAGAACAGAAATTTACAAGGATAAATGACAACTTGCATAAAGTGAGGCAGTAAGAGGGTTAACAGTAGAAAAAAACAATAGGAAGGATTGGATTTAAAAATGAAACACAGCTAGTAGTTGGAAATTAAGCGTTGAAATGGGCAAGAAATTTATTGTGTGTGTGTGTGTGTGTGTGTGAAAGCAGTGGAGGTATTTAAAGTTCTCTTTAATAAAGTATAAGAAGACAGAAGAGAGTGCAAGAATAGTAAGGGATCAAACTGCTCATAATTCGGGGTAAAGTGTTCGTCAAAACTGTGATAGTCATTGGAAAGATGGAAAAAAGGACTGTCGTACCACAACGTGAGAGGAAACAATGTGTGGGTTTAGTGTTTTCATGAAGCACATAAATTAGTTGTGCTTACCTGAGGTAATGTTGACATTTGATGCATTTTCAAATTTGGAAAATTGTTGTGATAGGGCAGATTAGGAAGCAATATGGCAGCTGTTGCAGACATGTTGCGATATGTTGAAGGATGTAAGACATTCCTGGGAGGATAAGGTCTGATTAGGTTGTGTAGGAAATAAGGAGATTATTTTCCTAAAAGTGAGAAACAGAAATGAATATTTAGCGCCACCATGTGTCTTTAATGGGTTTATAGTTGATAGTTTTGCAAGATTAGTGAAGGTTAATATTAGGGAGAGGAGTTGTTTTAAAAGAACAAATCTTGTATGAAGTCATACCTGTCACAGTCGCTGTTCGTGGATGACAAGATGCAACTGGGAGGTTCAGAAGAGAAGCTGCAGAAACTGATGATATTTGAAAGGGTCTGTGGAAGAAGAAAGTTAAAAGCCATCAGAGATTAGAATTAATTTATGATTACAAGTATAAGTTATAAAAAGATGGACTTCAGACTGAAGGTAAGACGTATGAAGCGAAGATACAGATATTCATGGGTTGTTGCATCAGCAGATGGGTCGGCAGAAGATGGGGTAAATTACAAAATAGAGGAGGTAAACTGAAATAAAAGTGTTGATGAATAGAAGGATTAAAAGTGAAAATTGCACTCCGCTGTAATAATGTTCACGCTCTTGTATGAGTATAAAGAATGATTCTCAAAAGCTTCAATGAGAAGACTGGATGTAGCGGAAATAATTGATATTAATATTTGGTGAGTTTTATGAAGAGAATAAAGAACAGAAGAAACAAAAACATTGTTGTATAAATGGTATCTTTCATAATGCGAGAGATGTGATGTTGAGATTATTTAATTATGTAGGAAGCAAGGAGCAAGATAAACTGAATAAGCTGTTGTATAAATCTGAGGTTAAGGGAAAGTGTATGGAACATTCCATCAAGGGTTGGAAGGAGAGTGCAAAGATTTCGAGAGATAGGGAGTCGAGCATCCAGCAAGGACACGCGAGAGTATCAGAACAACTGGAGGGAGGTGAGTGGTGTTTGGGATTTGACGTACTGATGATATTATCTATCAAAGGGTTTCTGGTAAACGTTTAGCAGGATTTGAGTTTTGGAGATTGAAAACATTAGACCACCAAATTGCATATCAAACCCAGTGCCTCTCAGTGCACACGACTACCTTCCCTATACCTCCCTCATCAAACACAACAAACGCTGTAAATTTCCTGACATAAACCCCAAATTTCATTCGCAGCCTCTCTGGTGTCCCATTTCCTAACGATAATCCTTTCAATCATTCTGAGACTTTAAAAATAGTTCCAATAACACTAATATATAATATATATATATATATATATATATATATATATATATATATATATATATATATATATATATATATATATATATATACACACACATACACACCGCGGAGCACTGCGAAAGCGGCGTTCACTGGAAGCATCGAAAAAAAAATTGACACGAATAAAAAGAATCCGAAATCCCTTCGGTTTCTTCTTCAGTTTCGTATGAGCAATTGAAAAGCAAAGGGAAATCATTGCAGCCACTCGCAACTGCCGATCAATCAGTACTGAATAAACTGTCTTTCTTTTGGCTGCATCAGGATGAGAGTAATTGGTGTGTGCTGCAGGCTGTGTAGCAGACTGTTTGCATGTAACAAGGAATCTAAAGCGTGTTGGAATCTATATGCATCTCATAATTAGAAATGTTGCATGTGCTCGAACCTAATTATGAGTACACGTGAAAGTCAGATTATCAAGAGACCTCACAATTCATAAACAATGTCACTCATGTTTGGATCTGTATTCACTTCTATGCTACGAAATATATACTTTACATATTGAGTATTTTTCTAATGTGATACTACAGGTCAGAAGTTAGTTTGCGGAAATATATATTTGTTGTCTTATTTTTACTACCGCATTTTCAGACATATAAGGAACATTTTTCCCCACGGAAAACCACATTGCGCAGTAGATGCTGACGATCAGGGTCAAGGGTGGGCTTTGGGTTACGTTCTAGCAGTTGTTTAATAATATTACGTTATAATTGCTTGGTAACAACATCTTACATATCTCTTACGATCGTGCGCCTTATATGCAGGAAAATACGGTAAATATTTGTTAAATGTTAAAATTATCCGAAGATCTTTAAGAAAAACGAGAGTAAGAATGAAAGGATTAATGAACAATTAAAAAAGAACATTTTTTTTTTAATCTTGATGTATATAATCTTTAGGATTTACGTAAGAGATGATTAAGGTCCTAGAATATTTAAAAAAAAAAAAGCGCATACTTTTTGAAAAGGAACGGTGTACATCCAGTACCCGCAGATTTTCCTGCAGAAGAGCAATATATATATATTCAAGAAGTTCTTCCTGAGAAAGGGGAGCGAAAGAATTATTAAATTCTTAGTTAAAGTTGCTCACTTCTTGGAGGTGTTAGCCATGGGAACCAATACCTTCAGCTGGCTTTCCTTATCCCCCTCCCTTTAACAAGTTTATACATCAAATCATTATATGTGTATTTTACACATGGAGCAAGGTACTGGAAGGGACGAAGACAATGAATGGGTTATGCACATTATCCACGGTTCCCAATGTAGGTACAGAGTGTGAAGGAGTATTGGATCTTCAAGACATATGCATTTAAATTTACCTGTCTCGCTGAAAATTGTCTGATCTGAATCCAACAAATGATTTAAGTGCATTCTTATTCAAATTTCTCGTAACAATTATTAATTTTATTTACAAATGCGACCACATCAGCAAAATACTTAAACAACGTATAACATTAAATATCATCCAGTGAAACAAAAATTATATATTGATATATTCAGGGGTCTGCACAGGAGGTCAACCATCACCCCTACGGAGCCAGAAACAACAAGTGAACCAATACAAGCCGATTATTTGGATTTACAAACATAGCCGAGTATGGCTCAGTAAAGGTCACGGCGATCTATACTAACAAAAATGGAAAAAGAAAGAGAGGGATGTCGTTGAACAATACAACACTGCCATACGCTCACAGCGCTTATATTTGATACTGTGACATTCTAGCCAAAACAAAGCAAAACTTCGATACCACACCCGATAGGAACTCCCATTCACACCAGTCATCGTCCAGCGCCGAGAAAAGAAGAATGCAAGATCAAGATTATTATTATTATTACATACACGGGAAATCGCTAAGCGTGTATGGATCAAAAAACGCATAAGGAATGGGTGGTAATCAGGTTGCTGCAAAGAAGGAAAGATTTCTCCAGTTCTTTGAAAAGAAAGTCCTTCACCAGAATCAAGGCACCCCATTCTCCACCATGAAGCGTACGTCTCCAGTAGGTTTTAACACAGAAGCCTCATAGCCTGAAGATGGAGACGCAACCCTTCTTAAGAATGATACTTTCTTCGAATACATCTCTGACTAAGAATGAAAGCCTTGATTATATGAATTCATTCGTAAGCACAAAATCCATTGAATTCAACGGGAGAAAGTAGTGGTTGACGGCGGCCTATTGGCTATGCTAACAGAATCATCTTACTAATAAAAAATCTTTAAGAAAAAGAAAATCTCAAAAAATACACCAATTTTCCAGATTTCTCCTTTATTTAAAAAGATTTCTAGATAACACAAGCGTTTTTCCAGCTTACAGTATTTTACTATGTAAAAACAAAACATTAGTATATATATATATATATATATATATATATATATATATATATATATATATATATATATATATATATATAATATATATATATATATATATAATATTTTGAATTTTTAGGCATCCATGAACTATCCAGCGCTCATCATGTGCTTTACCGCAGTGAAATTGCTCAAAGCTATGATACATATATACAAAAACCTGTGTCAGCCGAAAAATGCTCAGTGCCATTCCACGCAGCTCACCGATATTGTTTTATTCTACTACACATGCAAGCCTTAAAGCCTCGTCTTCGTGCACCGGCATACCTTGTAACGACGGAGAGAGAGAGAGAGAGAGAGAGAGAGAGAGAGAGAGAGAGAGAGAGAGAGAGAGAGAGAGAGAGAGAAATTATTCGGTAAACCTACAAGCTGATAAATCAGACACAAATGCAACACTTGGATACCTTTACTGTGGAAACGTTTCGCCATCTATGAAGTACTGGACTAATGAAGCCACTGTGTGGCGAAACGTTTCCACAGTGCAGATACCCAAATCTTGTACATCTGTTCTAATTTATCACAGAAAATTATACACCACATAATTGATTTACATTAGATCATCACAGTCCTCAACCTCAATGATGTTCTGTGTACAACTAATGGCAATTCAGATATCTGCAAAGTATGTGCAGGATAATTCAGGAAATGTAGTGGTGCAGCTTTCAGCAACAGTTACACAACACCTTGCGTAACTGTTAGGTTAGGTTAGGTTAGGTTAGGTTAGGTTAGGTTAGGTTGGGTTAGGTTGGGTTGGGTTGGGTTGGGTTGGGTTGGGTTGGGTTAGGTTAGGTTAGGTTTAGATCAGTGGTTCAGGGAACCGACGAGCTAATAAATCAGACACATGGTCAACACCTAGGTATCTTTATTGTGAAAATGTTTCCACAATAAAGATACTTAGATGTTGCACATGTATCACATTTATCACCCTGCAAGGTATGCAATCGTGATATTCCAGACAGAGTCGTGAGCAGCTTCCCTCTGTGTGTACATATCCTTGAAACTCCGATCTGACAGTCTGCTGCTACTTCGTCAATTAATGCTGTGGCACTAAACCCGTAGGAGTCGTACAGCAGGGTGGATAGAAGGAAACGATAAACTGGTAATTTCATATCCCTGGATCAAGAGCCCTCCCTTGAAAGCTTGACACTCTTCATCAATTTATGGAGGCCCTGATCCCTGAGAAATGCTCTTGCTCCCCCACCCCCAAAAAGAATAATGTGAAACGCCCCCTATTTCTTGAATCGAACACGAATACGTCTCACTCCCCAGGAGCTGTTTGACCTCTACGGGTTTAGCGCTTTCCCACGAACGTAATAATAAAAAAATCCATAAGCGAGTGGCAGGTGTGGGGGATGACGCAATACGGTTCTCGTGTGCTCTAATTACGTATTTTGCTAATTGTATCGTGAGTGGATGGGAGCGCTAAACCCGTAGGGATCACACAGCGCCTGGGGGTATAGCAGACAAGTAAGATTCGAACCCAGGAAAAACGGCCCCTCCAATTCCCTGGATCAAGAGCGTTCACCTGGCATCACATATCGCGAATGGATTTTTTTTCAACTGGTGTCGGGAGGGTGGGAGGTGGGAGTGGTGTGGGTGGAGGAGGCTAGGGGGGGATGATGATGAGAGAAGCGCTTCTAATTCACAGTTGCATTTTCTAAACACCATTTTGCTGGGGCTGCCA